CCACCTGGCCCTGCTGCTTTTCTGGGCCTAGATGTTATCGCTGGGCTTAATACTTAAGGAAGTGACCACGCGAGGGCTTGTGTGGGAGTCAGATGAGGCTATTTTCCAGCCCCCTTAATCCCCCTCTGTGGGGGCACTGCATGACTAGTGGCGTGCCAGGGGAGGAAAGGTCCGGAGAGGGTCCGAACCACATTACCAGCTTTATGAAAAGTCAGGGGGTCTAAAGTGCATGACCAGTGATGTGCTAGGGGAGGAAGGGTCACCCTGGGGGTGAGATCATACCCACAGTGGTCGGTTGCTAGGCACCTGGGGCTTTCCACCCTGGTGACCTTTTGTACTGAGCCTGTCGTTCTTACCTGCTCTTGTCTAACAGGTTACTAAATCAGATTGGAGGCAGATGAATAGTTTTAAAATTCTCTTTGGGTCCTTAAGCATTTACTGATCATCCTACTATTTGTATCAATTATCTATTGACACAATAATCCTGTATTAACAAAGTTCAGGGACTTAAAATAATAAGCATTCATTTAACACTCAGGGTTATGGGTGGGTGACTCAGGATGGCCCCATTGTCCTGGTCTCGGCTGAGGCTTCTCTGTTGGATTTGAGGCCTGAGTAGCTCTGGAGGGTGTCCTTAAGTAAGAAGTCACCTTTAGCTCTGATTATTTAAAGATGACCAACTGAAAAGGTAGATATTAACAGTGAGAAAATTTGGGGTCAGAAAAATAGAAAATTTGGGGTATAGAGGAACACAGTTTAGGGCATTTACGTTAGATAATCTTGCTCTTTTACTTTTATTTGCCCAAAACCACAAATTGTTAAAAATGCAGAATTTGATAATGCCAATATCCTTGTTTAAAAAAAATTTCAGTTAAGTATATTTAAAGATTGTATTGCCTTTATTGAATGATTCATGAAATCAGGCAGTTTCCCATCTAGCAAATAAATACAAAGGAGCTTCTAGGAGCTGTACAAAAATGAAAGACGTCAAGGCAGAAGGGTGTGGAACTAGGAAGTTCCTAGCAAAGGCTGGATTGTTTGTGTCACCTTCCTTTAGAGGAAGCAAGGGTCTGTCAGACAGATTACCTCACTAGTGCTGACCAGATGGACTGATTTAAGATTCCGCTCCTGGGGAAAGTTGAAACTCTAATTAAATTAGGTAGTATCAAGTCTGGTTTGGCATATGGGCTTAACACAAGTGACTTCAATTTAGGTCTGTTTTCTCTTTTGTAACTCCCCAAACTTAGGTCACAACAATTTTTTATTGCAACAACATGGATGGGCCTCGAGGTTATTATGCTAAGTGAAGTAGTTAGGTGGAAAAAGACAGATACCATATGATTTCACTCATATGTAGAATATAAAAATGAAAACAAAACAAACAAAACAAGCTTATAGAGGCAGACAACAGATTGGTGGTTAGCAGAGGGGAACAGGAGTGGAGGGAAGGCCAAAAAAGGTAAAGAGGCTCAATTTTATAATGATGGATGGAAACTAAACTTTTGGTGGTGAGCATAATGTAGTACATACAGATGTCGATTTACAGTGTTGCACATCTGAAACTAATATAATGTTATAAGCCAATATCACCTCAATAAAAAAATTACAAAATAAAATATTTTTTCATATGCAACTGCAAATTACGAAGAGCCTACTCAGGTGGTAGGTGATCAACTACTATTTGCTTCCTCCTAATTCCTTGAGTATTTAAAAAAAATTTTTTTAGTAGGTTTCTCTTTTTCTTTGGCTGTCATTTATGATGTCATCAGTTGGTGAAACATCCAGATATAACAATAGTTTAGACCTGAAGGGGACCGTGAAACCATTTAGTCCAACTTTCATTGATAAAGAGACAAACCAACCAACCAACCAGGAACTCCTGTAGACTTGTTCCAAGTCACATAACAAATCAGTCGGAAGCACAAGAATAGGACACTGAGCCCTTGGTTTCCATTCTAATGGCTTCCTCAGTGGTTTGGTGTTGTTGTTGGGATTATCTTTACTTTCCTGGGAAAATAAATCAGTGACGGCATTTGCATAGTGCCATATAAACCCCTTCAGATACTTTCGCTTGTGGTTGGAATGAATAGCTGAGAGACTCTGATATAATAGTTAAGTATTACTTCTAGTTTTTTGGTCTTCTCTGTAAAAAATAAAAGGAATTATAATGTTCTGCCTCATAGTGTTGTTGTAATCACTTAGGTACATATTAATTCTTTTCTATTTTTATTATTTGTTATTGTTTGTGTCTACTTCACAAGCCACACATAGATGACTGATTAATGGAGTTAATTCCCTTGTCCAATTTTGCTGTGAGTGGGGGAAGAGGAAGGCATACGGAGCATTCGACCTTGGGATGGTCCCTGTATGAGCCTAGGGAATCTCAGCCTCTGACCTTGTGTTTATCAAGGAAGGGGACTAAGTTATTTTTGGCTTATTTCCTTATTTAATGTTGGCAAGCAACTAAAAATAGAAGACTTGAAAGAAGGTCATTTTTTCAACCACTGCCCTCTGTATCATTCTAGGCTTTCGTTGCTTTGGGATGCTGCATTTTAAGAATAAATTATTTGGTGTCTAAAAGGAAATGGAATTTCTTATGGAGGAAGAATTTCTAAACCAGAGGGATACCTTATAAATATAACTCAGTGAAATAACCATCATAGTGAGCTTGCAGTGAAACAAAATATGAATTTACTAAAGCTTACCATTGGAAAGATTCCTAAACCCTATGGTTTGTTGTTTTACAGAAAGGAAACCACACCTAAGTTGTGCACTGTGTTAAAATAAACCAGCAACTGAGGGAACCTGAGAAATGAAATTTCCAAAGGCAGACCAATCCAGGAAGCCCTTTTTTCATTCAGATGTGTTATAACTCCAGCCTTTCCCAGCACCTTTTCCTGCCCACACTGCCATTCCCCTCCCTGCAGCCATTTAGCTTCGTTAGGGAATAGCAGACACATCCGGGGTTGGTCCTTGTTGAGTTATTCTGAAAACGATAAAGTAAAGGCAGAGCTAAGAGAACATGCTTAGCACTGATTTAATCTCTTGGGAATCACAGACCAAATTAACGCTGAATATCAAAGCTAAGGAATTGGGCTCTGGGAAATACACACATGGCAACGTATGCAAAATCTCGTGTACAGCTTCAGGATGTGGTGGACTTCCGGAAGCCTATTTTGGGACTTGAGTGATTCACCTGTGTTGTGAGAGTCACCAGCGTCCCTGGCTTTCCTCCTTGCCAAGCTCTCTTTTGAGAGCTACGGGAGAAGAAAGGATGTAAATGTAGTGCATGGGGATGGATCCAGTCCAGAGATTGCAAAAAGCTGACTCGAGGTAGTTTTGGGGGGCTCACCTTTTCTCCACTCATTAAATGCATGAAAGGTGAGATTCTCAGCTATTTATAAACCAGGAGAGGAAAAGGGAAGCAAAAAGGAAGAGACCTGCCTCTGAGTGACACTGTCACCTCCTTACAGTGCCATTTGGGCATATTTTTTTATCCATGCATTCAAAGCAGAAGAACTACATCATATATTTTGTAAGCAATTGTAAAGGTGGACATTTCTTTCTGATACTAACCCACTCAGGTTTTACAAAAGGATCCCTGTTCTGTAGAATAGTTCTATTGTGTAAGAAGGCCTTATTCAAATGCAAATCTTAGAGATTCTGGGGAGAAATTCTTTGAGAAGAAATTGGATTAAAAAGAGTAATAGGAAAAAATGAAAAAGGGTAAAGGTAATAAGGATAAGTGGGAAAATCCTTGCTGGTTGATGCTATTTGATTTGACTTTCTTCCCTCCATTCTGTACTTCATAGAAATTTGCTTGTAGGTGAAAATGTCTTGCTTTAGGTTTTTGCTTAGGGCTTGTTAATAGCCCTTTCTTGCATCCCTTTCATTGTCTTTTTTAAAACCAGCTGATTACCATATTTTGCGGAGTATAATGCACACTTTTTTGCCCAAATATTTGAGGAAAAAATAAGGATGCACATTATACATGGGTGCTACGAATTGCGTATCTACATAAATATTTTAATTCGTTTATTTATGCTTATGCATTAAAAGTGTAACTCTAGAAAGCAATAGTCATATCCATATGCCAAATAATGCCCTAGAATAAGATAATCAGTTTTGTTTCTAAATATAAGTAAATAAAACATTGAATTAAAAAATTAAAACAAAAGATTTTTTTTTCCTGAAACTTTGGGCCAAAAACGTGCATACACATTGTACATGGCAAAATAAGATACATGTTGCCAAGGCAAGCTATCCATATGTGGATATATGGAGCTCGCACTTCACTGAAGTGAGTGCTCTTTGGCAAGTGCAGGGTCTACACAGGTTCCTGCTCCTCTAGAAGCTGATATTCTTGTAATCTAGTTTGAATCCAAAGGCTGTAGGTGGGTGAGAACATTACCCACTGCATGTGGGGGAGCTCTGGTCCCACCGTCAGTGCTTACTGACTTTGTTACCTTGGTTAAGTCACACCTCCTTGCATCTTCAGCTGTCAGGGTTAAGACATTTGTAGAATGTTTTGTGGGTAGAAGACATTGTACTTCTCAAATTACATGTAGTAGGTAAATAAACTGCTATTTTATTTAAGATCATCCCTGTCACCAGCATAGTTGCCAGAATGCCTGGGTCGTTGGGATTAGATAGGATAGTCATATTTAGAGCTAATGATGCTAGTAGGTCCTGTTCCATTTATTATTTCATTTATTAGTCATAATTTTTCTATGAAGCAGATACTGTGATTATACCCCATTTTATAAGCGAGAAAAATAGATGTGCGAGAAGGTCAAGAAACTTGCCCAAAGTCTTCCAGACAGCAAGCAGCAGAGCTGGGGGCGTTGAAACCCAGGTGGTCTGGCTCTGGAAGCCATACTCCTAGCTTCCGCCTTTTCCGGCCTTTTTCAGAGCTGCATCATGTTCACAGGGAAAGGAGAATGTTGATGTGTGGTTGACTCTGACGCTTATTTAAGACTTTTTTTCCTTTCCTGTTTCAGGTATCTGACAGCAAGCAGTAATAGAAATTTCCTGCTTACCATGAGGCCATTCTTAAAAAGGGCCATTTTGGTCATAAGTTATGTAAGTATATATAAGCTTTTGAAATATCTGATAAGATATTTTTAACTTAGCTCAGAGGCATGATCCAGATTTTAATAGAATCAGCAACGGAGTCTAACAACTTCACCTTAGGATCAAAGCATTAACATGCGATAAATGTTACAAAGCATTAGAAGGTACACGTGAAAGAATTCTAGGGATAGGTGAATTCCGTGACACAGACAGTGTGAACTACAGTACTTTTCAAGTTTCCTTGTGCTGATGTTGTCTTGGCTGAGTTTCACACCTGACTGTATCAATGATCTATTGCTGCACACGAACTACCCCACAATGGAGTGCCTTCGAACAACCACTACCATATGTCTGCCTTCAGTGCTATAGTTTGGGCAGTATCCAGCAGGATGGTTCTGCTCATTGTGATTTTTACTGGGGTTACTTAAATCCATGCTGCCATCAACTGTGCTTGGTGGTCTCTCTGTGGTGTCTCATCTTCTAGGGCCCGTCCCTGTGATCGCTGTCACTAGCAGGATAGCTAGGACTTCATTACAGCATGGCAGGGTTCTCAAAGAACAAACCAGAGGTTCCAGGGCCTCTGTAGGGTTAGGCCCTGGAGTGACACAGTATACCTTCTACCGCATTCTGTTGGTTGAGGCAAGACACAAGACCAACCCAGATTTAAGGGCGTGGGACAATTGATTCCATTTCTTGGTAGGAAGAGCAGCATGCTTATACAAAGATGGTAGGAATTCTTGGTGGCCTTCATTGGTGACTGTCACATTAATCATCCTTTTGTGTTGCTGAATGTTTGTGTTCAAGGAGATTAGGAGACCAATCTCTTATGCTGTTGCTGTGTCTCATAAATTTCCTGTCAAAATTTGTAAGTTTTGACAGGAAACTTATGAAAATGTCTTTGAATTTATTGTGAACAATGTGAGTTTTTTCTCAACCCAAAAGTATGTTTATGAAGGAAGATAAGCATGAAAAAACTGAATGAGGTAGAGTGCTTTGACCGGACAATTTCAGCAGAAGGGGCAAAACATGTCTGTAAGGAATCCCCCAATATCTTTGCAGCGGGATAACACCAGTGGGTGATAAAATTCCATTGAGCGGTACAAAAAACACTCCCTGGGGCTCTTGAAATAACCCTTCACGAGTGTTCTACTTCACGGCATTCAAGAATTTTAACATCTCCAAATGTATTCATTCAGGACTCAGCAATATTATCTGTGATATGTAAGTTAACTTTTTTTGAGGTTATGTGAGTGGGATGATTATGAAATTGGGCAGTGCAGACCAATGACACAGGTTCAATTCCTGGATCTTACAGTTTAGCAGCAAGTTGCCCAGTGAGTGCCTGAGACTGACAGCTAGTAGTAAGAGTTTGCTTGCCCCTCCCTCATCACTTTCATTATTCACTCTTCTCCCTCCCCTGCTGCTTCCATTTTTCCAACTCATGTTAAATGTTAACATTTTATAGAGATGCTCACTAGAAAACTGTTTGTAAAACAAAATATTTGTAAAGCATCTGGAAATATCCTTCAGAAAGCAGGATACCCCAGCAAGTGATGGTTTTCTTACCAAATCTCCTTTTCCCTGAAGGTGATTGTTGTTTTGTACTTCCGTCTGTGGATTATGGGAGGATCTATGCCCCTCTTTTCAGAGCAAGATAATCCAGCTTCATTTTCGCCTTACATTCTTACAAGGTTAGTAGAAATACACTTTTTTAGCTTTACCTGGTATTAAATTGTTTTGTAATCTTAAGTGATAAGTTGGATTTTAAAGAGAGGGAGGTTTTGTTCTCTTCAGGTTCGGGGGGGAGGAGAAGCTACTATTCATACATTTGGAATTCTTTTCAAAAAATTATGCAATTTTGTCATATTATTGCTATTGTTCTCATAGTGGTATGTATAGGGGTGTGTGTGTGTGGATGTTTATTCAACAAGTATTTTATTGAGCACTCATCATCAATAATAAGTCTCTAGTAAGCGGCCTGTGCGGCAAATACTACAGAACAATGCACAGAGTTGTATAGAGGTTGATTGGACATAATAACAGTTTGTAAGATTGACACGAGTGGGGAGGTTTAAAGTGGCAAACAGAAATGAACAACAGTTGTTGCTAAGATACAGCTAATTATATCTTACCATGTGTCCTTAAGAGATTTAGAAGTATTGAATCAGGAAGGGATGTTAATCAGTGAATCTCGTTCATTGAGAAGATTTTTAATTCCTTATCTGTTCAGTCTGCTGTGATGTTCTTCTTGAGGCTTTCAGATATAAATATATTTGACAATATTAATATATGTCCTTCAGGATATATTGTTGCTATAATATTTAAACATTACCATGCCCTGTTCTTAAATTTTTATAGTTTTATATAATTAACATCTAATACCATTTTTAATTTTGGGAGCTTTGCAATGATATATAGTCCTTAAATTAAAACTTGGCTTCTGTAGCCATTTATATTTTGATTTACTTGTATTTCTGAGGGATAACACATTGCTGAATTTTGTTTTTATGCCAGGCAGTGATCTTTGTGTATTTCATTCATTTACCTTATATCTATTGATTGTTAAATTTTTAATTTTCTTTGTCTTGTAAATATTTTTTATTGTTCCTAATCTTTTCTTACTTTCTTTAAAAACCATTTTCCACTCAAAAAGGATACCTTCACAATTGATTAAGCCATTTTTATAGCAGATAATGTATCATAATTGTTTTCATTACTTACAACATGTATATGCATTTAAAAAAATCTTGCATATACCTTCAGAAGTCATATGATATTCAACATCGAATGAATGTCGGCTTATTCTTTTGCATGATGACTAAGTAATTTACAAAATTGTCAACTTACCCTTTTAATGCAAATGTATTTTTATAGGAAAGAACATTGCTTTAGTCTGTGGTTTACTTTTTAAACCTATTTGAGTTACAATCTGTGTAAACAATAATGAGCATTTTTTAAAAATCTAATGATATGGAAATTCTAACTTTTTAAAAATAATATTCTTTATATTTGATTTTTTTTTGTTAGTATGATATTGTAAGACTAGAAAATATGAGAAACTGAGGACAACTTGCAGCACTAGGGCAAATGTGAAATTAATGTCCCAATAATGATTTCCGCATAACATCTGCAGCTATGTCACAGTCAAGCTGCAACTAGACATAATATAATGAAGTATTCCTGTTTCAATTCTCTCGTTGCCTTTTCTACCAGTTTAAAAAATATAATTTTTTATGGAAAATAGCAAATCTGTACAAAAGTGGAGAAAATGGCTTAAGTACCTCTGCATACCCATTATCTGGTTCCAACAATCATTAACTCATGGCCAGTTGTTTCAGTGACACCCGCACCCACTTTTTTCTCCTTGCTTCCAGTCTCTCACTTTGAAGCCACTGTCAGATAGCATCTCCTTTTATATACATATATTTTATTTCTAAAAGACAAGGACCCTTAAAAAAAAGAACCATAATACATTACCATACTTTAAAATTCGACAGTTCTCTAGTATCATAGACAATGAGTGTTTCAATTTTTTCTGTCTCATAATTGGTTATTTTTAATAGTTATTTGTCTGAATTAGCATCCAAACAAAATCTGTACTTTGTTTGACATGTCTTTTAAGCCTCTCATAATTTATAGGTGTCCCTCTTTCTGCCACCTGTCCTACTCCCATTCTACCCCCATTATTTGTCAAAGAAACTGCCATCCTTTCTTCTTGGGAATTTGCAACATCCTGGGTTTTGCATACTGCATGCTTGTGGTGTCATTTGGCATGTTGCAGTGTTTTCTGTATTTGATGTAACCTGGCAATAAAAGGCTTAATCAGGTCCCGGTTTATTTATTTATTTGTTTGTTTGTTTTTGACAAGTCTCCTTCACAGGTGGTGGTACCTAAGTCCATCACGAGGACATCTAGCTGTCAGTCTTGCTTTCTGTGATGTTAAACTCAATTAGTGAGTTCTAGGCACCCAGTTTAGCCTGATCTATCCACTAGCTTTAGACCTAATTTTTTTTAAAGCCATTTACAATCATTGCTTATAACTGTTATATCAAGAAAAAGAGATGCTATTTTTCAAAGTAATTTTTAAGACCTGGAGTGTAACTGAGCAACAAAGCTGAATCATTTTCCTGCTAAATTTGATGGTTCAGCTTTACTCCTTAAAGCTGTCACAGGGAATCTTCCTGAGTGGGGAGGTAGATAGTGTAGTAGCTCAGTGAAAAATAGAAGCACAAAGTGACCCCATCATCCTTCTATGACGTTAGACTTCTCATAAGACAGTTTCACAGGCCCAAGCCTAAAAGCGATAAAGCAATTTTTTTGTTTTCATTTTTGTTAAGTAATAAAGCTTGTAGCATGGACAACACTGTTGGTACACTACCATTTTATTAAAAATAAGAGAGGAGAATGTTGGGAAACACTATTACAGTATCCCCATTCCTTCAACCTGTTTCCCTGATTGGACTTGAGAGTTGGGCCAATAAATAATCTCCATCCCTGAGCCTCATCTGATCATTGTTAATCATCTTTGACTGCCAACCGTGGAGGAATAAAAGGAAAGGGAAAGAAATCATTTGGGAAAGTCTGAGAAGGATGTGCCAAATTAGTAGCTACACATTGAGAGGAATTCAAGGAGATTAGATTCATCACACTGGAAGGTGACTTAGAAATTCTCTCATCAAACCACTTTGCAATCCAAGAATCCTTCCAGAAGAATCTGAGAAATAGCCAAGGACTTTTCTTCACAATCTGCACTCTTAGGGTGCTTCAACTCATTCTGCTTCTTTAATTCTGTGCATCTTATTTTCCCTATTGGATTGTACATTCTTTAAAAAACAAGGAAATTATCTAATGATTTTTGTTTAATCCCATCTCGGATGTCAAAGATAAACACAGCTGGACATTAGTTAAAGCAGTGAAAACAGATTTTATTCAGTAACAGCTGACAGCGAGGGGAAGAGCTGAGTGCCATTCTGATTTGTGCACAGATGATTGGACGCTTTAGAGGGAGAAAGAGGGGGCCAAACTGGGGCTCAGCAGAATCAGAGAGGTGACAAATGACAAAGACTGGTCACTGTGCTGTGATTTGGCTGGCTGAGCCTGCTGGCAATATTTGAGGTGAAGATTTGTCCTCCCAAAGAGACTGGCTGTCTTTCCTGATGATGGCATTTTAATGCAGTAGCTGTCAGGTCCCTGACAAAGACACTTCTGAGTTGTAATACGTACATATGCACGACTGTAAGCCCCTTGTAGTAAACACCCTAAAAAAAGGGAAGGCAAGGGCCTCTCCTTGGGTGTTAGCTAGAACAAACGGTAAATTCTGGCAGTGATGAGTTTTCTCAGGCAAGTGTTTTAAAGGGAGGCTGGACCATCTAGGAATACAACCATATGCTGCTAGGAGCAAGGCTAGGGTTTGGTTATCTCCTAGTACAGAGGTGAGGGTACAGTTTGTGATGTGCTGAGAGTTCTGCAGTTGTCAGGCGTCAAGAACAGTGCTTAATGAATTTGTATTGACTGAATAAATTTAAATAAATTCAATTTTCTCTACCCTGAAAGGAAGGAGTTCAGTTGGAATGTTTTCCACTTTATTGTAGTGCCTAGACACAGCCAGGAAACAGGGTAACACCCCCTTCATATTTTCCTTCCTGGGGTCCACCTGGCTGTTCTTGTTAGCAAGGACATTTGTCCTTGCCTCCTGTTGAAGGCTAGTTCCTCCATTTGTGAATAAGAGACTTTATCTCCCTACCACAGCTATTTTGATTTTTTGGAAGTAATTCAGTATGAATCAACTTGCTGTAAAATGATAATCTGTTATTACAATCATTAAATATTTTCGTATCTACTACAGGGCACTATTAAAAACGGACAGTTCAAATATCTCTTATCCAGGGAATTACATCCAATGGGGCAGCATTTCTGTTGTATGCTTTCATCAAACTTTTCCTTTGCAGCATTTATTTCAGGTCATAATGTCTTTATTTGCATAATTTTAAAATATATGTCATGGAAACAAGGTCTACGCTTATTCACCTTTGAAAGGCCAACATCTACCACAGTGACTAGAAGCTATTAGATATTTTTTTATATGATCAATTTAATGACTAAAGAAATTCCTTCTGACTTTGTCTTTTTCTAAAAGATAACATTGACAGTGTAGAAATGCTATTTAATAGAAACAGAGTGAATGGATGTTACAAAATGTCATGGTCCTTGAGTCATGTTTCAGCGATTCTTCCTCTCTTTGCAGATTCCTTACGTATTCCTACCTCTTGGCCTTCAACATGTGGCTCCTGCTTGCCCCTGTTACCTTGTGCTATGACTGGCAGGTCGGCAGTATCCCTCTGGTAGAAACCATATGGGACATGCGGAATTTGGCCACCATCCTCCTGGCAGTTGTGATGGCCTTACTGAGCCTGCACTGTTTAGCCGCCTTCAAGGTAATTTTCTTAAATGTAAATGAACTCTGCATTTGAAGAGATATAATCTGTACTCATTAATGCTTTTTTTCCTCAGCTGGAGGTCTGGGTCTAAATTGAATCTACGCTTTTGTCTAAAAAATGTCATGTATATAAAATTCTCCTCATAGGTGGTATATATTTTAAAGACCTCAATGGGTTTAAAAGACCATGGTTGCCTTAATTATATTTCTTCTATGGCTTCTACTGACCCTGTAAAAAGTAGATATGAAATTTAATGCTCGCAAACAAGATATGCTTTCCCTGCTGTGGTTGGTTACTTTTTGAAGTAATTTGTTTGATTTCATATAATGTTAAATGAGATAATAATGATATATTCATAAGTGCTTGAATTATGTTTAAGACTCTACTTCCACTGATGACTCTCTGCTTCAGATGGGTGACACTCACAACATAAAAAATGATATAAAAATAGGAAAATTATTGACTGCAACTATTTCAAAATGATCAAAGACAGCAAAGAACTTGAAAATATTTACTTATGAAAAATTGCTACTGAATTGGATAAGATGCCTAAGGGTCTTCTCATCTCCCATTTCTGTCCTGACCTTTGTTAAAAACCAGTTGACTGGCTAGAGGTGGCTGATTTGCTTTGGGAGAGTATCAGAGCAGCTAGAAATTTAGTAGGGATATTTTGGAAGCAAAGAACTGTGTAAGGGCTAAGATAATATGCTCTCTAGGCATTCGTGGCTGACTGCCTAACAGCATGTGTACATGGTATTCCCTAGGGAACACAAGAAAATTGAAAGCCTGAGGAGACTTATTTATTTGCTGCAAATTTGAATGAATTCCTCAACCCATATGTAGTTTGGGTAGCAGAGAGTAGACAGTTCACTGGCTTAAGTTGTTTATGTATAACCGCCATTGAAATCATTGACTGATTACAAACTACACATGCACGAGAGAAATACCCCAGAGATTCAGGCAGAAAAAAAAGAAATCTGAGCAAAAATTTCAGCTCTTTGTAGAAAAACAACTTTTTCAGTTTGAGTCCAGGCAAGTTCATCATATGAAAGAAAACAAGAAAACCAACATATTTCAGAAGAACAAAATAGAATACAGAATCACTACAATGCATAGCATACAATGCCTAGTTGTTAATATTACTGAACATATGAAGAAACAGGAGAGTGTGGCCCAAACTTAGGAAAAATAATACTCAAAAAAGAAAATAGAAAAGAATTGAGATTCCATATCTAAACTCACATTTACGTGATCAACTGACTTTTGACAAAGTTACCAAGAAAGAATAGTCTTTTAAATAAAAGATAGTGAAATAGTAGAATACCTGTCATCCTTCTTTGTTATCCACCGGAGCCCTGGAGGAGGAGGACATAATATGATCTACCCTGTTACAATTGTATTTATACTTACTTGACTTTTTAATTTATATTTTAATAACTGACTTTACAAAACTGCAGATTAACATATGTAATCAACACATGTAATAAATAAAACAGCAGGTTTGTTATTTCCCAGTCACCCCCTCAAATCCTACCCTCTGTAAGCTCCCTTTGAACATTTGGTCTTACACATTTTTACACTCACTAAAAACAAAACAAACTCTTTCTTTAAACAAGTAAGTTAAGTTAGATACCATTACAAATTGCAAGCTCTTTCACACTACTGCCATGCCCAGTTGAAGTACCCCTGTAAGTAAGCAGCTCAAGAGGAGATGTTTGACTTTTGCCAAGCTCTCATCTGGGATGTAGTGAGAAAACTAGGCCACAGAATCTAAGACTTCTTTCTCTAGAACTAGCTGCAGGATTACCTTAGAGATTGTCGCCCTGAGCAGTGTAGCTCAGTTGATTGGGTGTCATTCCACAAAGTGAAAGGTTGCAGTTGGATTCCCAATCAGGGCACATGCCCAATTTGCAGGTTTGGTCCCTGGTCTGGCTACAAAAAATAGTCAACCGATCGATGTTTCTCTCTCACATTGATGTTACTGTCTCTCTCTCTCTCATTCTCTCTCTCTCTCTCTCCCCTTTTGCTCCCTTCCTCCTCCTCTCTCTAAGAATAAATAAAATCTCTAAAAAATAAATACATAAAAAGAGATTGTTTCTCATTTTTCCTGTTTTTGTCGCATAAGAAATTTAAGACCTCAAGGAGTGGTATATTTATCACAGAAGAGCTCACTTAGCATCTTTAAGAATTTAAATGTAGAATTTGTCTTATTCTATGCCCCTTGTTCATTCCTTGATTCACTAGGAATACATATGAGTTTATATAATACAACACAGAGAACAACCTAGAAATCCGTTACTGGGTTGAATCCTTTTTAACAATGAATTTCAAAGTGAACTAAGGTGCCCTTATTCTTTGTGATGAGGATAATCACTGTTGGAAGGTATATACAGTAGAAAAAGAATATTTAAATCATGAAGTCTGATTATTCCATATTTTTTTCTGTAAAGAATGGATGTTTATACATCGGGACAATCATAGGCTGAAAATGCACTTGGTTTTTTCTTTATGACTCTTACAGACTATATGTCAGACTTCTGACCTGCATAAATTGTGATATATATCTGGAAAATAGCCAGTCTGATTTGGATTGTTTAGAGGAGTTAGTAGTACTTTCGGTCCTACTCTTTATAGTTGCCCTTCTCCCATGTCCTCTAATGTGATTTTCTTGCATTACAAGGGAAATACAATTAAATTATATTGAAGAGTAATTTATTTGTTATTGATTCTTTATTACATTCTCACAGAGTGTCCTGCATTTTGAGGCATTTTTGTAGCTTTTATAATCTTGCAGGATACTCATAAAAGTAAAACCCAAGGGAAAAAGAAGGGGGTTAATGACATCCAACTTTCCTAGTAATGACAAAAACAGTGAGATGTCTTTTGAGCCCCCTTTCCCAAGTATGGGGCTTTCAGGGTTGTTTTATTTTGTTTTAATTTTAATAGGAGGTACACAGTTTTGTCCCAATCTATTCATAGTATTCCACATAATTCCCTTGAACCCAGCACAAATCCTAGGCCATATCTATGGGCCCCAGAGAACAAATCAAATTTTCATGTCTACAGGGGACCAGTCTGCAGCCTGATCAATAGAGGTGACCATTAGTGACAACTTGGTGGAAGTGAAGGGGTAGGATGGGGTAGACCTAAAATATCTGCTCGCTTGGGGGAGATACATTCATCTCAGGATCTCCCTTTATGCCTGCTCCCAGCCCTCATGCTAATCCAGTCACAACCCCCATCAACTTACTGGATAAAGGAACAGAGAGCTATTGCATGGGGAAACAGCGACTGTCAGTCTTAGATCTCTCTTTCATTAAAACCCCCACATATTCCAACAAGGAGATAATAGAATGAGGGCCACTATTGGAAAGCGATTATTTGCTCATTGACATTCTTACATCATTCCAAAAAGGACTTGGAGCAGCTTAAGGGGAAAAATACAGTACAATGGGATAGACCAGGAGATGGAAAAAACTTTTGTTTGTGAAGAACCAGATTGTAAATATTTGAGGCTTTGTTGTTCATAAAGCCTGTCACAATAATTCAACTCCGTCATTGTATCATAAATTAGCTGACCTCTGGTACAGAACGTTGTACTGCCACAGACTCATACAATTGAATTGAACATGCTTTCAGATTTCTAAAAATTATTTTGCATTTTGTTCAGCCAAATAATAGGTTAATTTATTGTGGCACATAGATTACTGTGGAATAACTTATAAATTCCAGAATAGCCATTTTGAAACCTGGTAAAATAAGCATGTTGTTTTAATACACCAAGTGGTGAAATAAAATTGAACTTAAGGAATGTAGGTTGTTTTTAATGGTGAATGGCTCTGTGCCAATGTTGATTTTTTTTCTTTTTAAATTTCTGGACTACATATATTTTTCAGTTCCTGTTCTCTGCACACTCCCTGTTTTCCATTCTTTTTCCGTCCTCAATTTATAAAAATGCTCCTCAGACTATTCATAGTCCAATTTTTCTAGCCCATTTACATCCCATCCGATTTGCCCTGCTGTGGGACCACTGCAACCACTGATGGAAGAGATCTTGATAACATCTTGGCAGGGTTCGCATGCCGCAACCACCAGTGCCATGGCAGTAGCCATTGTCTGGGATGCCTCCCTGTTTCAGGTTTGGCCAGCCCAGTTGGTCCAGCCTCTTATCCCTGCTCTCAGCGGGCTTCTCCCCCTGCCTCCTTTTTACCTATGTGATAACACTCAGCTACTTGGGTCATGGTTTTCAAGGTCAGTAGCAGTAATCAACTTTAGCTCTTAGGTTATGCTCCAAAGCTGGGATTTTTGCTTATATCACTTTTATGATAAGAATTTGAAAATGACCTTACTGCTCCATCAGATGCAGTGCTGGAAAATTTCAGAATAGAATTTACATGGTAAAATAGAAAATATTTAAAGATATATTGAGATCGCCTTTTCCTACATACTTTTATATCGTTGCTTTGCTATTTGTGATATAAATTGTGACTTACATTCTGTCACCCTAATTTCACTTGGCAATCTACTTTAAATTCATGACCCTCAGATAGGAGCCAGCCCCACCTCCCAGGCAAACCACAGGTGCATGAGGAGGGACACCGCCCAAAGCTCCACATGGAGAGCCCTGAGGCTGGAGGAGGGGAGGCTGTGCAGCAGAGTGACTAGCGCTGAGCTGAGGCGCAGTCCAGGCTCAGCCACTGACCTGCTGTGAATCACCTCGTTCAGACTTATTCTAGGGACACAGGTGGTTGAACCAGTGTGAGCCATGTTAGGCACTCAGCACAGTGACTGTCATGTGCGAAGCATTGAGAACCTGTCGGGTGTCTTTATTGTCTTTATTGTCATCATCATCATCATCATCATCATCACCATGATCATGAATTTGTCACAGCTTAATGTCAGGAGCACAGTAAAGGTTCCTGTTTCTATTTTGTATGGAAAAAAAACCAGACATGAAAAACATACTCCACTTGGCTTTTTTTGATTGTATGTATTTC